CTCTACTAGTGCCATCCTATACGGTGACCTAGCAATAGGCATAGTGCCTGGAGCTAAGTCAATTACAAAGTCAATATCGCGACTAGGTGGCAACCTTGGAATCTTTGAAAAACATCCGAAAAGTCCTGTACAACTGGTATGTGATCCAATGACACAGTAACCTCCTCCTCCGTTTCCTCCTCCACATAGAATAAATAAGTGCTACTGCCCCCATTAAAACATGGCATAGTGACGACATACATCCTGACCAGGTATGGTGAACACAATAGACCTATCAAAACAATTAACTTGGTCATGGTAGTGAGACAACCAATCCATCCCAAGTATCACATCATAAGTGTGCATGTCCAGGACCAATAGATTGGCTAGAAATCTGAGTCTACCAATATCTAGTGTCACAGGCCCATCACTCTCATGTAAAATTGTTGTATTACCCAATGGTATACAAATACCCTAAGGTCTATCACAAACCCGCGTCACCATCCCAGATAAAGTAACAAAAGATCTAGCTACAAATGAGTGTGTAGCACCCATATCAAATAAAACACGTCCTTGTAAACCATGAATAGGAAACTTACCCTCAACAGCTTGAGGTGTCTACATATCCTGTGGCATGGGGTTGTACACCCTGCCATAATACAGCTGCTGCGGTGCCTGTCCTTAAAGGTGTGGCGGTGCCAGTAAAGCTGGATATGCCTATCCCTGAATCCATGGAACCTATGGAGCTGGTAGAGGCATTGGCGCCCTCTGCCTTTGCTACACATGCTGTCTCTGTCCCTATCCATGTCTTGCTTTAGGACACTGCCTGGAAGTGTGACCATACTCTCCACAAGTATAGCAACTACCCTGGAAAGTACCAAATGGTCTCCTCTGTCGGTTAGCCTGTGGCTGACCCTGTCCTGCCTGTGGTCCACCATTTTGCTGTCACTGAATAGGTGCCCTATCCCTATGAGCATCTGAACCAACCTTGTGCTTCTTCCAAGGTTGCTGTCCCTGGAATTTACCTTTGTTATTCTGTCAATTACCGATGCCATTCCCTTTCTCAGCTGACTGATTAGTAGAGTCTCTGTCACCTCGCTTCTCACCCTTGGCCTGTCTAAAGTCCACGGTCAACTAATACTGCTGTAGAACGGCATCTACCTCCTGAGCATAGGTAGTATAGGCTGGACTACCTATAATAGCTCTCTTGATAGACCACATCAGTCCATTAACAAAACTGTTGCGCTTCTTCTCCTCTATATCCACATCCTCCAGTGCAAAAAGAGATAAGCGCGTAAACTGCTGCTCATACTCTACCACTGTCATTTTCCCCTATTGCAGATTAAGAAACTCGGTCTTCATAGTTACCCTGACTGCATAAGGAAAGTACTTCTCATCAAAGTGAGTACTGAACTAATCATAAGTCAATGACATCCTTTCCTTTACGGTGGTAACTGACTCCCACCACTGCAATGCATCTCCGACCAGCTTGAAGGTAACAAGCATCTGCTTCTTAACCTCCGTGCAATGAACCAAGCGAAGATGTCGCTCGATGTCCTGTTTCCACTGGTAAGCTGCTTTCGCATCGGTGAAGCCTATGAACTCAGGTGGGCTCCCCTTTGTGAAAGAACTCCTAGCCTTCTCCCAAGTATCAATCTGAACAACGAGTGCTGGTAACGGTGCTGGTTGTACCTGAGGCTGATTCCAAAGTGCAGGTATTACCTCTGCTTCTATAGCCCGAGCAATGAAGTCGTTGATGTGAGGAGGATACTCTAGATCTCCTCCCTGATCCCGAGTCTGCTGAACGTCCTTCTGCCCCTCCTAAAACTGACCATCATCATACTGAAACCCAGCCAATTGTTGTTCTTCCTCCATTTGCTGACGCCACAGGCGTTCTTGCTGCCTACGTGCCGCTCTCCTCTGTCAACTATTCATGTTCTATCCACTTCTAGTGTTAACTATGCTATTAATATAGAAAGACACACATCAATACAAGTTTAAGCGAACCGTAAAGGAATTCAATGAATCCTAAACTTAAGCGCTAATCAAGAGAAAACGCTATGCGGAAGTCTTAATACGAAACATCCTAAAGACACTTGAACCTGGAGTGCTCTGATACCAACTGTGATACCCCTAAGATCTGAGACATGGGTTGATCAGGCCCAGGCCCAAATCCGAGGGAAATATCAAACAATTAAAGTATTTTAAAGCGAACACAGAATATAAAGATTTAAGAATTTAAATTACAAAGCTGAAAGAATTAAGTATCTATATATCCACACTAAGGGACATTCACTGGACTACAATAGGGGTCTCAACCTGAATAAAAGGTAACATACGAAAACGCACCCAAGGGTGGGTATGAGTACTTAGACCTAACAGGGTACACCTTAACCTACCATAACTAGCTACGCATCCACTGCATATACGCACCCTCACCAACGAGCTTGATACTCAAGCTCATCTCATGGTACCATAACCATATATCTAAAGTTCATCCCAAAACCAGAGTATGTCATTTAATTATTCATTAAGGTGACATACCAAAACACAGTCTAGTTAGTCACTCAACTTATTCAGTTGATATGACTTAACTACAACCAACTAATCCAGGAAGTCATTCAACTTCGTCAGTTGATCTGACTTAAACACAATTTAGGATTCAATATTTTACAATCCATTCCTTTAATCCGATAGGTTAGGTCTTAGCGTTTTGAGCTAAACCATCCCTAGTATGCCACCGTCCCATACCGGTGCATACAATCCTCCATATCCGTGTAAATTATAACATATAAATAATAGTTAAGTAATTTACAATCCAAACCATTATCTAAATAATTACAAAAAGATGTTTAACATTCTAGCAGTTGAAATCCAACTGTAATTGCAGAAAAAGTTTCAATATGTCAACAATTAGTATCCAAAGCAGGCATAGATCAAGACTAATGCGTAAATCACCCTATCATGCATTCAAGATAAGATTTGTAATCTTATTGTACTCCATTAAATTGTTAAAATTTAAGCTAAGCAATTTCATTCCTTACAATAGTTACCAGCATGCAAAGTTGTATACTTTCCTATTGTTCTGTCCTTTAACATAGTGACATAAACTATGCAAATAGAGGCTTAATTAACACTTAAAACTTGAATTAAGAACCCCAGTATACTCTCAACGCAGTTCAGAAGAAGTTAAGACATCCATCGTGCAAATAGTATTCCAATAATAACCCTGTACGCATCAAAATATGAGAGTCTGCTCTCAAAACTTGAGAGCAAGCTCTTTTAGAGCATGGAACCGGCTCTGAGGACCTTAGAGCCAGCTCTGGACTCCCCAGAGCTGGCTCTAAAGATGAGGGAGCTGGCTCCCTCCTCCATGGAGCCGGCTCTCTCCCTCTCTGAGAGCCGTCTTCAACCTCTGCAAGTTCTGCGGCCTTCTGCTTCATCTCCGGCCGCTTCCAACCTGGCTGATTGTTTTAAAACTGAACCTAGAAGTCTTAAGTATGTCCAGTAGCATCCAAGTTCATTATTCAAACCAATTTGCATTATTACACTCCTTTAACACTTGTCGATTAAAACATGCTTAAGAAACCAAATACTGTAACAAAACTAGCATAAACCATCACAGAATTAATTCAAAGCATACATATGATTAATTTGACATATAAAAAGCATGCACGATTCAGTTATTGATCCATTAAATCCCTAAAACCTATCTAGGCGCACAGAATACAGGCCAACGGGAAAGAGGAAGAAAAGAACTTGCCTTTAATTTCAGTAACAAAATCCCGGCGTCGTCTCTAAGTTTTCAGCAATACTGAACACTGTCAAACGTCCTACTACTCTGGCTCTTCCCTTCTCCTAGGTCCGACCGTTAAGCCGTAGTCGAAACCTTCACCGAACGTGCTCTGTTTTCTCAAAAACTTCTCTCTGTTTCTCTCTGTAACCTTGGTACGTGAATAGGGGTTGTGTATTCTAAAAACCCTAAGTCGACATACTGTTATATTTATATAGAGACTTAAATAAAACCTTATTCCCTATATGATTAGAGACAGAGCCCTAACGTCGATCTTAGTCAGCCCATAGAGTAACCTAAGTTATAGTATATGTCGACTACATATACATAACTTCTTAGAAAACCTTACTGTTTACCACTCTACCTGTTATTAAATTTAATACATTAACCGTTACTAATTTAATCTAATTTCAAAAATTAATCTAATAAAACATGTAATTAAACTAATTTACATATTCAAATTAATAATGACTAAATTACTCCAATTAAGGAAAATACAAATGACAATTAAATAAAACAATACAATTAATGCAATTTAAACACATAATTAAATAATTAAATCAAGTAACTAATTAAAACAACTAAACAATTAACAAATCAACAAATAATCACACAAAAATGTAATAACACAATAATTAAAATGCTGAGACTATCCTTTTAAAATTAGGGGTATTACATAAATCTAGTGCGTTCGCGTTAGCGAAGCTCAGGTCTGGTCAGAAGTTTGCGGTTAATGACTTTGCTCCTATCCAGAATGATGATTGGAGGTGAGACTTCAAATCCATTGGAGAATGACCAGGAGTCGAAGCTTGATGAGTTGATGAGCATGATTGAAGCACTGAGAAGAGAGAATGTAGAATTGCGAGCTGGAATGGAATGTTGTGAGGCTCCTACTAATCCAAGGCCGCCTCCGGTAGGAGATGGAATTTTGCCATCAAATGCTGCTCATCATGATGATCTGGCAGGAAAGAATTGTATGAATCATCATCGCGAGGAGATTGTGCCAGATCTACCTTCAAATGTTCGTTAGATGGAGGATCGAGAGGGATCTATTCACTTGGATCCGAACCGCGATCGGATCATGCGAGAGGAATCCGCAGCTTTTGATCCAAGTCAAGGAAGATTGCGGCATGATGAAACAGTGGAGTTTGGCCATCATGGAGCTCCGTCACTGTAGCAGAGGGGATTCACGGAGGACAGATCATTTGATCCACACTACCGGCCTTCAATGGCGACGTATGATTACAGGAGTTCACAAGGAAGGTCTGCAGATCCGAGGATTCCACCATGGTTTTCAAGGGAGAATGAAGCACTCCGTTCCTCCGCAAGAACGGTTGCATCACCATTCACTGACGAAATCCTGAATGCTCTGAATCCAAGGAGGTTTTCCATACTGCTATTCATTCTATTTGATGAAACGACTGACCCGATCGATCACATTTACCACACTCAGTTGAAAATGGCTCTAAACATAAACAACGATCCTTTGATATGCAAATGCTTCCCTACAAGTTTAACAGGACCAGCCCTCAATTGGTTCAAGAATCTGACTCAAGGTTCAATCGCTAGCTTCCAAGACTTGTGTGACAAATTCATCAGCCAGTACTATGGTAATAAGCTCCTAGCTAAAGATGTTTTAAGCCTTTTTACTATGAAGCAGCACGAAGATGAATGGCTTCAAACTTTCCTCATCAAGTTCAATCTCGTTAAGAGCATGGTAATGGAATGTCACCCATCCATAGCAGTTCAAGCATTCAAGCTGACCATGAACCGAGGGACACCATTCCATACAAACCTAGTGCTGAATACGTCGAAGACCATCGACGAACTGAATAAAAGAGCCGATGGTTTCGTGTGTTTGGAAGAAGAGAAAGCAACTAACGCAAGAAAGACGTCGATCATCTCGACAGAGGATAAATCTAAAGCGAAGATTCAGCAAAAGCAAGCTCCACCACAACGTCAGACCTCCTGGAAGGTAGAGAAAAGGCCCAGAGAGGAAGAGTTGGTTACTCCACTTAAAGTCACTCTGGTAAGACAGTATCAAGAGAACAAAGATAAGTTTCGCCCTCTATTACCAATCAGATAACTTCTTGAGCAGAGGGATCAATCTAAACATTGTGCTTTCTATAGTGATTTTGGTTATCAAACTAATGAATGCAGGAACTTGAGAAGGCAAGTAGCGATGCTGATCACTAGGGAAGAATTTGCAGGATATGTTCAAGGGTCAGCATAGAAGCAGAGCCGACCAGCTGAGCAAGCTAAAAGAACTCAGAAGCTGAATCAACATAGCGCTCAGCCCATTCGGATTATAAATGCAATTCATGGCCGACCTGAATAGACAATAGAGTCGGAAGAGTTACTCCGAATGCATCTTTGTCAAGCACAAATGAGGAGGAAAATAGGTAGCGTGAACGCTTTGCACCAGCAGAAGGCAACAACGCTGATAAAGTTTGACAGAATAGACTTGCTTCGAGTTCAAACTCCTCATAAAGATCCTTTAGTCGTTCGCTTAACAGTGGCAGAGTGCTTAGTGCGAAGGGTGCTAATTGATCCAAGGAGCAGTGTGAACGTCATTCCAAGGGTCACCTTCAATCGGCTAGAGATTAAGCCGGAGGTGCTTAAACCTACTGGAAAACCATTGTTGGGATTTGATGGGAAATGAGTGGAACCGATTGGCACAGTTGAATTGCTTTTCCGAGTTGCTGAGAGGGAACTAGTCCAAAGCTTTGTAGTAGTGGAGATCCATCATCCTACAATCTCTTAGTGGGAGAGGGTGGATTCATAGGTCCAGGGAGTCCCATCGACTTTGCACCAGGTAATGCGATGTCTGGGCCCAGATGGAAGTAAGGTGATTGATATCCATGGGGATCAAGTCGCTGCCATGGAATGTTATTCGGTAACTCTGAAAGCTGTAGGGAAGGGAAAAGCTCCCGTCTACTTTGCCGGCTCGAGATAGCAATTAAAGGAACCTCCCCCCAGCATGAAAGGGGAGGGGGAGCCTTTGGTCTTGATCGAAGAACCTTTAGTTGATGTGCAAATTGATAACTCAAGCCAGATCGAGCCACAAGAGTGGGCTCAAGGCTTGTAGAAGGAGAAAAATGCCAATTAGTTAATTTCCTCTCTCAGAACTCAGATGTGTTCGCTTGGAGTCACTTGGACATGCCGGGGATTGAACCCTTTGTCTCTTGCCATTCCCTTAACGTTGATCCGAACGTCAAGCCTGTCAGGCAAAAGCAAAGAAGGTTCGCCCCGGAGCGCAATCAGATCATCGCCAAGGAAATTGATAAGTTGTTGGAGGCTGGGTTCACTAGAGAAGTTCAATATCCGTCATGGCTGTCGAACATGGTTGTTGTGCAAAAGAAGAATGGGAAGTGGAAAATTTGTATTGACTTCACCAACCTGAACAAAGCCTGCCCAAAGGATAGCTTTCCACTGCCAAAGATTGATCAAATGGTGGATGTTACAACTGGATATGAGCGGCTAACCTTTCTGGATGCCTATTCAGGTTACAATCAAATCCCTATGGATCCGAGCGACGAGGAAAAGACCTCTTTTATTACTAAACGAGGGATCTATTGCTATAAGGTCATGCCGTTCAGGTTGAAAAATGCCGGAGCCACGTACCAAAGGCTGGTCAACAAAATCTTCAAGGATCAAATAGGCAAGATCGTAGAGGCTTACATCAATGACATGGTGGTAAAGAGCAAGCAGAAGGGCTATAATTTGCAACATTTGCAAGAAGTGTTCGGAGTATTAAGAAGTTACAGAATGAAGTTGAACCCGACCAAGTGCTCGTTCGGCGTAGGGTCCGGGCAATTCCTTGGCCACGTGGTCAACATCAGAAGGATTGAAGTTAGCCCAGCCCAAGCAGAAGCTATACTAAAAAATACAGAACCAAGTACAGTCAAGGAAGTGTAAGCACTCACCGGATGCATAGCGGCACTAAGTCAATTTATTTCTAAGCTGTCAGACCGGTGCAAGCCATTCTTTGATATGATAAGAAGTTATGGAAAGCAATTCTGGGGGGATGAATAGTGACAAGCACTGTCTAGGTTGAAAGAGTATATATGAAACCCACCAGTCTTGACTGCCCCAAAACTAGGTGAAAAGCTTTTCTTGTACCTTGGAGTTTCCAAAATTACAATAAACGGCATTTTGATACGATGTGAAGAGGGTAAGCAGTACCTAGTTTTCTATGTCAGCAAAACAATGACTGAACCGGAGAGAAGGTATTCAAAGGCCGAACGAGTAATCCTGTCTTTGGTGAATGCAAAAAGGAAACTTTGGCATTACTTCGAATCACATCCTATAGTTGTTCTGACCACATTTCCCATAAGGGTGATCTTGCATAAGCCAGATTTGTCTGAAAGAATGACGAAGTGGGCCATAAAGTTGAGCTCTTTTGACATAACGAATGAACCCTGAACGGCCATTAAAGAGCAAGTGGTGGCTGATTTCCTGTTGGAATGTGATGTAGCAGAGCCAGAGGAAAATCCTGAAGAATCTTCGTGGAAGCATTTCGTTGATGGTTCTTCGAATTAGATGGTGTAATACCCATAATTTCAAAAGGATAGTCCTGGTATTTAATTTATTTTTTTAATTGAATTTTTAATTATTTAATTGTTTATTTGAATTACTTGAATTATTTGAATTATTTGATTTATGTGAATTAGTTGAGTTATTTGACTTAATTTGAAATTGGTATGTTGTTTAAATGACATAATTTTTATTTCTTTGAATCACTATTTTAATTTAATTATTTGTTTTCATTTAAGGATTTAGATTAAGGTTTTTTTAAGAAGTCACGTATATAGCCGACATAATTCATTAATTAGGTTTTCTATGGGCCAACTAAGGATTTAGTGTAGGGTTTTAGGGTTTGGTGTAAACCTATAAATATATGTCATGAAGTTCTGCCTAGTGTTTTAGAACCCTATTCACGACAGTGGAGGCAGGAACAGAGGAGGATTACAGTGGGATTCGTCGAAAAACTTAGAAGACAACGTAAAGATTTTGAACAAAAGTCTCAAAGGCAAGTTCTAATCCTAGCTCTTTTCCTTTAGCTAGTGTTCTTTGCATGTCTAATACAACCCCAGGAAGATAATAATGATTAAAATTAATCTGTGTCTTCATGTTTCTGATGTTTTAAAACTGATCGTAGTTGTATGATTAAGTACTGCTTGTTTTGAGGTTTTCTTGTTTAACCTTTAATTGAATGCATGTAAATTGATGTATATAGGGTTTTAATTAATCTGGAACACATGGGAATACAATGGAACTAAACTGGATCATAGGGTTGAATGCTTTAATCAGTGAGTGTTCAGGAATAAAGAATTACTTCCTTTTAAGTTTTGTAGTGTAAGTTGTGTTCCAAAGAATAACTGGGTTTGTATAAAGATTTAAATTGTCTATTGAACATACTGGAACTCAGTTTAAAGACCTAGAAGTCTTAGGAATTGAGGACAGATAAACTGAACGTCGCCGGAGTGGACGCAGGGGAAGAAATCAAGTAGAGAGGAAGAGAGGGGGAAGAGGCGGCTCCATGGAAACATGGAGCTGGATCTAAAAGGATTTGGAGGTGGCTCCAAACAGGTTAGAGCCAGCTCCATCTTGTTTGGAGGCGGCTCCAACTTGTTTGGACCCACTTCCAAATCCTTTTAGAGCCAGCTCTATGGAAATATGGAGCTTGCTCTAAAAGGATTTGGAGGTGGCTCCAAACATGTTAAAGCCGGCTCCTTCTTGTTTGGAGGCAGCTCCAACTTGGTTGGTGCCGACTCCTTCAAGCCTTCTTTAGTTTTTTCATTTTTCTGCGATGGTTTTGGCTACGGGGCGTGGATTTTCACGTTTTCAGATTCTGTTGGAAGCTGTAATGGAGTGTTTAGAGATGTTCTAAGCCTTGTTGAACTTCAGAGAGTGGGTTTAGTGCATAATGAACCATAGATGTCCATAGCTTGAACAGTAGCTAATAATGGATAAAACTGTTTTTATTTCGATTATGGAGGTTTTTAATGTTTCTAAACCTCGAGTTAATTATTCTCTGTGAATGGGAATTTTTTTAATTCTGTACCGATAAATAGTAGACAAGCATGATAAGTAATATAATTAATATTATATTTGTCATGGAATAAGGAACGGGGAAACGGATTTTGTGTAATCTCAGGTGTTGAAGAATTCTACATTGGTAATTCAATATAAGCATGATAGATTATCTGTTTGTTATTTGTTCAATATGGAATTGATTGATATATCTTATGATAAGAGCTATCAATTACTGGAGTAAGCATGTTAGATCACAGAATGATTATATGCTTATAATGGATGAATTGCTTAAACATATGTTGACTATATTAGAAATTCTTGGATAACTGCGTAATGGGGTAAAGTAAGCATGTTCAATTACATATTTTGACTCTGGTTATTTTGAAATTTATTGGTATTTACATTCGTGATCTGTAGTATCAACTTCTAGAGGGATGGATTGTATGCACCAGTATGGGACGGTGACATACCAGGAATAGTTTAGTTACAAAATACTAAATCTAACCTGAATTGGAATAAGGGAATAGATTTTAATTAAATCCTACTTATATTTTTGCTAAGTCAAAGAAGCTGCACAAGCTGAATGATTAGCTGGATTACTTGTTATCTATGTTAAGTCTGTGCAGTTGAATAAGCTGAACGACTTACTAGATATATTCTGGATGGTTATAAACAGATTTTAAATATATTATTATGGTACCATGACATAAGCTTGAGGCTTAGAGTCAACGGTTAGGGAGCATATATGCAGTAGGACGCGTAGCTGGTTGTGGTGTACCCTGTTAGGCTTAGATAGTCATGCCCACTCAGGTGCGTTTTGGATGTTGCCTCCTACTCAGGTTAAGACCCGTATCGTAGTCCAGCGAGAGTCCATAGTGTGGATATATATATATATACATGACTTATGTAGTTATTGTTCAATTGGTTAGAGTGTATATGCGTATCGAGTCTCTACTTGGATTGTAGTAGGTTAAAACTTGTTCGTGGGCCTGACCCACTTCTATTTTTCAGGTACTCGTCAGTTCCAGACTTAGACCTGATCGTGCTGAGCAGAGATTACTACTCACTCTTCCGATGATGTAGGACATCTCTTCGTAGTTTTAATTTAGTTTGGATTTTGGTATTAGGGGTACATTGGATGGATTCCCAAGTTGTTT